TTAATTTTAATTAATGTTAATTATTTAATTAAGTTAATTATCATAATTAATTAATTTAAATCCTTAATTTCCTTTAATGTTGATCAAAGCCAAAAGTATCTTTGTTTATTTCAATTTCACCAAGAACTTTCATGATTAAGCAATTTAATCCATGGGTCTCAACTCTTTTCAAATCAATCCTTCATGTTTTAAATTTAGTCAAATCAATCCCTTATGTTTTTGGATTTAATCAAACTGGACCCTTTTAATTTCTACTTGTGTTTATTGTGCATGCATGTTCTTGATTTTGTTTCTTTCAGTCCAAAAATTAAGAAGTGTTTCAATTTGGTTTATCTCTTTTTTGACTCAACATAAACATGATGAATAAGTTGATTCAAAACCCCCAATGTTAAAGTATGCAACTGTATTTAAACGGAGGATTGTGAGGTGCGTGTATGCCCTTCCTCACTCCTAACCGAACCCTCGAACTTCGTTCTCTGCGCAGACCCGTTTTAGGTGACTTGTCTCACCTTATAATTTGGACGAGTGGCGACTCCCTTTTTTCTATATTTTTCGCACTTAATTTTGATTTTTCATTATTTTGAAAAAAATCTTAAGTGGTCGTCAACAGATTGGCGACTCCACTGGGGACAATTGAACCCAGGATCTCTGGTTTCCATATTCTGGGTTCACGAGGGTCGAGCTAATACTTTAACTTTGGAGATTTTTCAGCTTTCAATTTTCTTTGATTGTTGAGTCTTTGTGGGTCTTTGTCATTTATTGTATATGTTTGTTACATGTTGCGTGTTGCATGTTGCTTGTTTGCTCATTGTTTTAGTGGTTGCTTTGATTGTTTTGCCTTTGAGTAGTTATCTTGCTATATCTTGACATGCATCATACCTTGCTAACATGTTCATGCATCATATCATCTCACATGCTCATCCATCATTGATATAACATGCTTATTCATCATGCATATTCATCATGCATCATGCCTATACGCCTACTTGATTGTGTGTGGATATACTCACCTTTTACACTTGGCTATGGAGTACTCAATGAGTCTCTTCCCTCTTGTGCGATTATTTATATTTTGTTGCATGCTGAGTGTTGGTTGCTTTGTGTTACTAATCTTTTGCATTTGGCATAGGAGTACGAGGTGAGTCCCTTCTTGCTGTGTAAGTAGGTTTGTTTGTGGATGATATATTTGTTCAGTGCTTTACATGCTTTATTTGATTGCTGTGGGATATATGTTGCTATTTTTGTGGTTGCCATTGTGCAGGTTATTGGAGTGTCATGCCCCTTACACACACTCACTCTCATTTTGCATTAGGTTCGTGTCGAAGGTGAACCCGACCTCTAGTCTGGAATCCTTACAAATCTGGCTTGGAAGAACAATTCTTCCCGCTTTGAGGAGTAAGATCGGTTTCCGTTAGGGTGTTTCCATTGGTTAATACGACACGTAATGATATAATATCATTCTGTGTATTAGCTTTTGGAAATATCTCCCGTTGATTCCGAAAGGATAAATGGTTGAGAAGGCCTAATGCCCTTTAGGAAAACATGTAATGGCCTTAAAGAGATACCAACCCTAGGATATGTTTCCCTTAGCATCCCACCCGTGAGGCTAGGCGTCCTGTGATTAAGACACAAAAGGGGCATTTTACTTTGCTAACCTTTGTTTGCGCATATGGCAGCTTATTTTGCACACTTAATAAGGTATGGCATGTGAGGGTATGATTTATGTTTAACTCTTTTAAGTCATGTGTTTAGGTAAGATCATGCATTAAACATGGACTTTACTGAGGATATGACTAGACAAGGGAAAAGCCTTGGGGAAGATGTCACATCTCGTTTTACTGCTAAGAAGGCTAAGGAGTTAATCTTTTTAGTCAATGCCTCCAAACCTGGCTTGAAGCTGCTGAAAGAAGTTTATGGCTTGTTGTCTTCAAGAGAGAAACATGACTTTGAGGTCCGATTTGGATGCATCGGGGATCTATTGTCAGTGGTGCCAGATTGGAACTTGTTCCGAGCTATGTTAAAATTCTATGTCCCTCAATATCAAGCTTTTGTACTCCCACACTTTGAGTTGGTGCCCACCATTGATGAGTATCATCACCTCTTGCGGTGTAGTTTTGGAGTGGATTCTTCTACCTTCACTCCTCAAGCACAACATCTGAAGTTCACACTAGAAAAAGTTCAAGAAATGTTGCAAGCTATGTGGGGGTTTCCATTTGAATTCTCACAACCATTGGTGACAACTAAAGATGATTCCTATGGATTCGATTGGAATGCGGTGTTACTAGCTTTGGGAAAGAGATTGAAGGGCATGACATCTCCTCAAAGAATCAGCTTTGTGGCATTGGGAATTTACAGCATGGTGTTCTTCCCTATCTACGTCAAGACCATTACACCTATGGTGGTAGCTTTGTTTGAGCAATTGTGGCACACTTTGGCATTTAATCCTGCTTTTGCAGTGGTGCTGAAACTTTGTGGTCTATGGAAGAAATCCGGATTAAAAGATCTGGTCGTTTCTCAGGTTGCATTGAATTGTTCATTGCATGGGCACATGGTCACTTGAGGGGTCCTCAATTTGAAGCTTTATTCAGCGTTCCTGTGAAAGATAGAAAGACGGAGGATTGGCATCGGTCACTTCTAGCAGCAACTATTAATGATGTCGGATTTATTCTCCTGACTTGGAATGCTACTCATTATCTTGCTCCACCCGAAGGACATCACTCTATTCCTTTGTTGGGTATTCATGGAAGGGTTACATATTCAGTAAAGTTGGCATCTCGTCAATTTGAAAAAGCACAAAGCATTTCCTATCTTGAGGACGCATTACAGTCACGTTTTGATTACATGTCTTCACCGGTAATTGTATCTAAAGCACATGAGATGTGGGAGAGATGTAGGATGCTACCTATATGGAAAGAGAATGGGACTAGACCACAACATGATCAATGGAGATCGGGTTGGATAGCTAAACTTTCTTTGCCATGGGAGGTGATAAATACAAAAGACTCTACCATCATGGACTTAACTGCTAAGTTAAAACTTAGCCATGCTCGGAGATGTCAGTTGCTAGAAAAGTATGACGAGCTAGCTCTTGATCATGAATTGCTTAAAAGAGGGAAGAAGTTGTCCGATCAGCAAGTGGCAGGATTGAAAGACAAGATTGCCTCTTTAGAAAGGGATTTGGCTGCTGCCAAGGAGATTTGTGGGAAGCAAAAGAGGAGTTTGGAGTTTGCTGAAGAACAACAGAAAAAGCTGCTACGAGTAAAAGCGGATCTTAAGGCAAAAGAAAAGGAGAACCAAGAGCTTGTGGAGAAAGCGATTAGACAGCAAGAGTTGAAAAGAAAAGTGATAAGGTGGAGGAATGCTTACAACAACTTATTGTATGATTATAATGCTCTACAAAAAGAGTTACGGATGGCAAAGCAGTCAAAGCAAGGAGAGAAGGAAAGCACAACTTGAGGAGCTTGGGGAAAGATGGGATTGCTTGGGAGCTATTGTACAAACATCAGAAATTCAAATTTGTCAATGAAAACTTGCTTGAATGAATGCAATCTTTCTTCCTTGTTAAAAGTATATCTGATGAAGTAAAATCCATGATTAGGATAGAAATTTCAATTCTCAAGCCTCGTATCACATTTGCATTTTATTATACATGTCATTAGCTAGGATCTTTGATTATTATTTTTTATTAATATCCTTATTTTCACCACTTTGTGTTTAGTTCCCAGGCCCTTTTGATTGGACCATCTGTCACCTCTGAAAGGAAATATGGATTCTCACACACAACCTTCTACACACATGGCTTTGTTGGAGTTTTCTGCTCGTACTCAAAGGCTTAATGAAGGAGCCATCTCTTATCTACACCAACTAACTGAAGACAATGAACACCTTCACAAAGCTAATGAGCAATTAGAAGAGCAACTACAAGACATGACCATCAACCGTGATTTTTACAAGATTGCCATGGAGGACATGTGCTATCAACTCCAAGTTGAGAAGCAAAAGAACCAAGCTCTTATTGAAGAGGACACCGGCTTGCATGAAGTTGTCTCGACATAACCGCTTTGGTGACTCAATTCGAGGGAAAAATGGCCGAGACTCATCATCACATTGCTCAAAGGACCCATCCAATTGAGAGGGGATTTTTCCAACCAGTCTTCGACTTTATCATTGACATGTCCAATGTGCTTAAAAGGCTGTATGAGGGTTAATGTTTTGTAATGAAGACTTGTAAGCACTTTGAATGCAACTTTGTACTGCTTGCTAATGTTTAAAAGTGCGATTATCTAGTAATGAAAAGTCATGTTTTAGCACAACTCATTCTAATACGGGCGGATGTCTTCGTACCAGATGGAAACGCCGATGTGGGAATCCATATGGAACTTCAAAGGGGAAACTCATGGTTCAATCAAAAAGGGCTCAAATCTCTTTAGTTTTCTAATTTTCCTTTTTTTGTCTTTATGTTTTTGCCTTAGGTAAAGGTCTTTTAATCATAGCTCCGAGGCGAAAGTTCTTCAAAAAGCGGCGTTCTCCGTATTTGCTCAGATTTAGAGTAATCAAAATGTCTGAGGAAAATGCTGCTACTAATCCAGAGAAATCAGCTGTGGATGAAAGGGTTGATAAGTTGGAAGCTACAATGCAAACTATGGCTGCTACTCTTCAGACCATCAGTCTCACCTTGTCGACTTTGACTACTAGTTCGGTTTCTTCACCTGCAATACCAGTTCCACCTATCCCTACCATCACACCGGGTAGTCGTGCTAAGGATCCCATGGTCACACAATTGTAATTTCCACCTATTTATGAGAATCAACCTCTAGTGGGAGAGTCATCTTCACATGCTCCACAAATATCATCTCTACCTTTTGAAGCCTCATACCCACCATTCGAGATGAATGATCCTACGTTGCCCACAACCACACCTCTTACCCTTAATGTACCACCTTTGATGGGACAAGTGCCAGCTATTCAACCCAACCCCTCGGTTGCGATGTTAAGGTCTACTTTAGAGGATGGGAAGTCAAGAGAGGTTGATCACAAGCTGCAACAGTTAGAAGACGCTTTGAAGGCTATGCAAGGGCCGCAAGCTTATGGTTCCATTGATTTGGATGATCTTTGTTACTATCCGAGAATTCAGACAAATTTCAAGTTCAAGCAGCCAGATTTTGACAAGTATGATGGCTCAGGTTGTCCTTATGCCCACTTGCAGATGTATGCTAGGAAGATGGCACCTTATGCTAATGATGAAAGGGTGCTCATTCATTATTTTCAAGACAATCTCTTCGGCCTAGCAAGTGTTTGGTTTTCAACACTTGACAAGAAGAAGATTCACACTTTCAAGGATGTTTCTCAAGCTTTTATGAAGCAATATGAGTATAATACGAGTTTGGCCCCAACAAGGGATAGCTTGCAGAGAATCACCAAGAAAGGTAATGAGACTTTCAAAGAATTTGCTCAACGGTGGAGATCTGAAGCAGCCAAAGTCATTCCACCTCTTACCGATAGTGAAATTTGCTCTCTCTTTATCAAGTCAACTATCGGGACCTTTCGTGCATGGTTAGCTTCTTGTGTGGGATATACTTTTGCTCAGTTGGTGACAGTGGGGGAACAAATTGAAGATGGACTAAAGACGGGTATGATTATATACTTTCAAACCATTCAGAGGCAATTAGAGCAAGTCAAGATGGGAAGCTCGGGATCTACTTCAAAGAGGTTCTCACCTAAAGGGAAGAAAGAAGATGAGGAAGCTTTGAATCACATTTTCACCAGTCATGCTAAACCAGTTTATAATGTGGCAAATGGTCCTTACAATCGGTAGCCTCAATCGCAATACACCTCAACCTTTAAGCCTACCCCCTACCCTCAAAAAAGACCAAATTTTAATGCTCAAGCTCCAGTTAGACAACAATTCCCACCTACAAATCAGCCTAGACAATTCACTAAACTTCCAATCCCTTATAGTGAGGTGTTGAAACAGTTAGTTGAAGTTGGTCTGATAAGGACATTGCAAGTGAACCCTATCCAACCACCTTATCCGTATTGGTATGATGCACAGGCTAGGTGTGAATATCATAATGTGACGGGTCATGGTACTGAGAATTGTGCGACTTTAAGACATAGAATTCAAGATCTCATTGATGAGGGTAAACTTCAACTTGATGTTAAAGAAGCGAAGGGTGTTCCAAACATCACTCAAAACCCTTTACCTCCACATGATGCAGGCACAATGAATAGGATCACTTTTAACGGAGTTGAAAAGCTGATGTTGGAAGATACTAGTTCTTGGTCTCTTGATGAATTGTTTACCATTTTGATGGAATATGATTCAGCCGATTGCACAAAGGAGTTTGAATGTTCTGCCAATGATGATTGATGATGCTGTGATATGTCCTTATCATTCCAATATGAAGGAACATGCTTTACAAGATTGCAAAGATTTTCAAAGAAAGATCAAAGAGCTACAAGTAATGGGAATTTTGAGGTTTACATCTACCCAAGAGGTAGAGAAATTCATAGCACCAGTGACCGAAGAATACTTCACTAAGGAGAGGCCTTACATCCTATAAGATACTACCAAAGCACAAGTCATCAATCAGAATTTGCGGCAGTCTTATGTTTTGAAAACCTCTCTTAGTGAGTCACTCATGGGAAAGACATCCTCTGTGGTTATGCCTCAACATTCTACCATCTTGAATTCTACAGCCAATGATGTGTCTAATATGACCCGCAGTGGTTGGTGCTATGTGAGTCTTGAAGTGGAAGAGTCGAGAAGGGTTGCCTTGAAATCAAAAGGTATCAGAATTGAAGAGATGCCAGAAGAATTACCCAAGAAGTTCGTGTCAGAAAATGAAGTGGTAGAATTTTTGAATATTTTGAGGAAGAGTGAGTATAGCATCATTGAACAGCTCAACAAAACCCTTGCAAAAATTTCTGTTTTAGAATTGATGCTGTCATCTGAGGTCCATCTTGATGCATTGCTCAAAGTCTTGAAAGAGGCCCATGTGCCTAAGAACATTGATACTCAAAAGTTTGGGACTGTGGTTGGGGCAATTTTAGCTCCAAATTACATTAATTTCACAGATGATGAGATCCCCGATCAAGGAAATGGGCATACCAAGGCTCTTCATATTTTAGTCCAATGTAAGATGATGAATGTGCCTCATGTCTTGATCAACAACGGGTCAGCTTTGAACGTGATTCCTATGATTGTTTTGAAGCAGTTGAAAGTGAACGAGTCTCACATTAATCAGTGCAATACAGTGGTTCGTGCTTTTGACGGAACAAAGAGGAATGTGATTGGAAAGATTAAGCTTCCAGTGGAAATTGGCCCTGTGACTTTTGATGTGGATTTCTTTGTTATGGATATTTCTCCCGCTTTTAATTTGCTTCTTGGGAGGCCTTGGATACATGTTGCCGAAGCAGTACCGTCCACTTTGCATCAAAAGGTCAAATACATTGTCAATGGTGTTCTTGTCACGATGAATGGTGAGGAGGAACACGTCATCCGAAAAGCTACAACCATTCCTTACTTGGGAGTTGATCCGAGAACTTATGAATCCTCTTATCACTCAATGGAGTGTGCTGCTGCTTCTTATATTCACCTGAGGTTCAAAGGGAAAAGGGTTGAAATGGCTAAACCTACAAAAGTTGTTGCTAAGATCATGCTTGCATGTCACTACCAGTTGGGAGAGGGTTTGGGATTGAATGGACAAGGAATTCTTGAGCCTATTGAGGTAATTCAAGCTTGGGGCATTTTTGGTTTGGGATACAAGCTGAAGAAGGAAGATTGGCAGAGAATGCATGCTATTAAGGCAAAGAAGCGCCTTGCTAGACTTCAAGGGAGAGATCCTAAGGATGAACCAATGTGGGTGCCGCACATTAGAGTCACATTTCCACGACTTGTTGAGATTTTGTGCCTTTCTTTTGATGGATATATGGTGAAGCACATGGATGTTTTATATGTAGATCCAGAGGGTACTATTTTCACTGATAGATTGCTTGAAATTGGGGAATGTTCAAAACAAGCAAAGTATGAGGAAGTAGTTGTGGAAGACATCACGGATGAAGTTTGTTCTAATGATGAGGAAGACAGTTTTGGCTTCAACAACCTCTTTGGGCCAACCAACATGACAGATCCTAAGGAAAGGTGGAGAAGGATGCTCGCTAAAAAGGCATTTATGGAAAAGCACCCCAACTTCCATCTTGCTCATCATGCAAAAGCTCCAATGGGAACACATGAGTCTATACTCCTTGAAACAGTGAAAGAAGAATCATTATGTGACTCGTGGGAAAATTTGACTATAAATGCTCTAGATGAGGAAGAACTTGAATTTGATAGGGGAATTTCTCTGATTAATGGAAGCTCTCAGGCTAATTGGACAGCGGAACTTCTCCCTGCAACTTTCATCTCTGAGTAAGAAGAGTCAGCCTCTAGTAGTTTTGCTTGTGGCTACATGAAGGGAGGGATCCAACAAGCACTTTTATATTTTCTGAAATTTATGTTATCATGCCTCTAGTATTCCCATGCTTTCCTTTTCAATAAAACATGTTGCAATCCTATCCTATCATTGTAAAAATCCTCGTGATACAACTTTACTTGAACTTTCATTGTACAAGCCACTCTTTAATGATATGTTTTAACATGTTCTTATCTTTGCTTCATTATGATTTGGTCATTTATTTACTTCCATCCATAATTTTCAGGCCTGCTTATGATGAATCTTTAAACAATGATGTCATATCAAACTTTATATATGAGATTGATGATCAGACCTATAGTGAAATAGACAATGAAAATTTTGATCCTTCTCATGAATTAACCCAAATGCTAAGAGAAGAAAAGCCAAAGCTGCAACCAAATCAAGAGACTGAGACTATTAATCTGGGAACTGAAGATGACAGAAAGGAGATAAAAATCAATGCCCACCTATCCACAGAAGAAAGAAAAGAGTTGACAGAACTCTTATCTGAATTTCAAGATGTTTTTGCTTGGTCCTGTAAGGACATGCCGGGACTTGATCCTGCTATTGCTGTCCATGCCATTCCACTCTATTCTGAGGCCAAGCCTATTAAGCAAAAGCTAAGGAGGATGAAGCCAGAGGTTCTGTTAAAGGTCAAAGAAAAAGTGCAAAAGCTGTTAGATGTCAATTTCATTGAAGTAGCTATGTATCCGGGATGGGTGGCCAATATTGTTCCTGTAATGAAAAAAGATGGTTGAGTTAGAGTCTGTGTGGATTATAGAGACTTGAACAAAGCAAGCCCCAAGGATGATTTCCCATTGCCTCACATCCAAATTCTGTTAGATAATGCTGCCAAAAATGCTCAGTTTTCTTTTGTTGATGGCTACTCTGGGTACAATCAGATAAAAATGAAGGAGGAGGACAAGCTCAAGACAACATTCATCACTCAATGGGGTACCTTTTGCTACAAAGTTATGCCTTTTGGACTAAAAAATGCCGGGGCAACATACCAACGCTCTGGGATTACTTTATTACATGACTTTGTGCATACCATTGTTGAGCTATATGTTGATGACATGGTGATTATGTCCAAAGAAGAGGTGCTACATACAGAAAATCTTAAGAAAGGTGTTTGAACGCCTTAGAAAATACCAACTGAGACTCAATCCTGCCAAATGTACTTTTGATCTGGATTCTGGAAAGCTACTTGGCTTCATTGTGAACCGTCGAGGAATAGAGATTGATCCAGCCAAAATAAAAGCCATCGATGAAATGCCACCACCAAAAACCCAAAAAGAAGTCCGAGGTTTCTTGGGAAGAATTAATTACATTGCCCGTTTCATTGCCAACCTCACCACCATCTGTGAGCCTATTTTCAAACTTCTTAGAAAAGACAACCCTCATACATGGAATGCCCAATGCCAACAAGCCTTTGACAAAATCAAAGAATACCTCAAAACCCCACCAATCCTTGTGCCACCAACTGATAGAAAGCCTTTCATCCTATATATCACTGTCCTTGAAAAATCCATGGGAGCAGTTCTTGTCCAACATGATGACTCAGGCAAGAAAGAAAGAGCCATCTATTATGTGAGCAAGAAGTTTAATGATTTTGAAAGTAAATACTCACCCTTAGAAAAGACTTGTTGTGCCTTAGCCTGGACATCCAAGAAACTTCGCCACTACATGTTAACCAACACCACTTACCTAGTTTCAAGAATGGATCCCATAAAATCATTTTTGAAAAACCTACCCTTTATGGAAGAATCTCTCGATGGCATATGCTGCTTTCTGAATTTGATATTGTTTACACAACACAAAAGGCCATCAAAGGGTAAGCAATTGTAGATCATGTAGCCGAACATGCAATAGAGGATTATGAGCCTATTGATTGAGATTTTCCTGATGAGGACATTTTGGCAGTGGAGGCAGAATCTGATTCAGATAATTGGAAGCTTTTCTTTGATGGAGCTGTCAACTAGCTTGGTTGTGGCCTTGGAGCTGTGTTGGTATCCCCAAAGGGTGATCATTTTCCTATTGCTATAAAGCTTGATTTTGCTTGTACCAACAACGTAGCCGAATATGAAGCTTGCATTGCAGGAATAAATGCTGCTCTGGATATGAATGTCAGAGATTTGGAGATATATGGTGATTTAGCACTAATTATATGTCAAACAAATGGTGATTGGCAAACCAAGGACCCAAAACTTATTCCTTATCACCAATATCTTGAAACTCTCATCAAGAAATTTAGATCCATCTCTTTAAACCATATGCCCCGTGCTAAGAACCAATTTGCGGATGCTTTAGCTACACTTTAGCCTCCATGATCCAAATCTCCAATGATGATGTAATCAAACCTTTAAGGATTGATATTAGTCAAGAACTGGCACATTGCATGGAAGTCAAGGTTGATGACAAACCATGGTTTCATGATATTAAACAGTTCTTGCGAAATGGGGAATACCTTTTACATGCTTCTGAGGTGAACAAGAAGACAATCAGAAAATTGGCTACTTCATACTTCTTGAGCGGAAATACATTGTATAAGCGCTCTGTTGATATGACCTTGTTGAGATGTGTTGATGAGACAAAAGCAAAACAGGTCATGACTGAGGTCCATGAAGGGATATGTGGGACACATGCAAATGGAAGAATGCTTGCTAGAAAAATTCTCCGGGCTGGGTATTATTGGTTGACTATGGAACACGATTGCATCAAGTATGCACGAGCTTGTCACAAATGTCAGATTTGTGCTAATCATGTTAACGCTCCACCTTCATTACTGCATAATATGTCTGCTCCTTGGCCATTCTCCATGTGGGGCATTGATATGATTGGGGTAATTAATCCTAAAGCTTCCAATGGTCATCAATTTATCTTGGTTGCTATTGATTACTTTACCAAATGGGTAGAAGCAACATCTTATGCTAGTGTTACAAAGAAAGTGGTCACTCGCTTCATCAAGAAAGAGATCATCTGTAGATATGGGCAACCAGAGGCCATCATTACTGACAATGCAAGCAATTTGAACAATGACATGATGTCTGCGCTATGCAAGCAATTCAAGATCAAGCATTTGAACTCTTCTCCATACCGACCGAAGATGAATGGTGCGGTGGAAGCTGCCAACAAGAATATTAAGAAGATTCTAGCTAAAATGACAGTTACTTACAAAGATTGGCATGAAATGTTGCCATAGGCTCTCCATGCTTATAGAACCTCTGTTCGCACTTCAACTAGGGCAACCCCTTATTCCTTGGTATATGGAATGGAGGCAGTACTACCAATTGAGCTAGAAATTCGTTCCATGAGAATTTTATCCGAGTCAAGGATTGAGGAAGAAGATTTGATTTAGAAAAGGATAGATCACCTCAACTTGCTTGATGAGAAGAGATTGGCAACTCTTTGTCACAGTCAATGCTATCAGCGACGAATGGCAACAGCTTACAACAAGAAAGTCAAACCCAGAGTATTTCATCAAGGAGATCTCGTCCTAAGAAAGATTATGCCAAATGAAAAGGACCCTAGGGGCAAATTCGCGCCGAATTATGAAGGGCCCCATGTGGTTAAAGAAGCTTTCTCCGGAGGAGCACTCTTGTTGAGATATCCAGATGGAACTAATTATCATCACCCAGTGAATGCCGATGCTGTCAAAATGTATTACTGCTAAAAAAAAAAAAGAGAAAAAAAGTTTAGGTTGAAAACTCGAAAGGGCGACCTAACAAATTAAATGTTTCCTTGACTTGAAAAGTTGAAAATCCAATGATGAAAGGTCCTCTTTCTTTACCCTAAACGGTTGAACATTACCCTTTTGCTTACCCCTTTTGAGGCAGAAAAGGCAATCATTCAAACTTACAAAAGTCGGAATGATGTTCTTTCTATTAGCCCACATTAATGACCGGGGAAGTGAGGAGAGAGATGTGAGGGGAACACAGGGATTTTGAACCTTTATCCTTTCTTTCATCATAACCTAACCCCAAGCCACGTTACAAGCCCATATGAAAGTCCTTATTTGAGGGTTTGAAGCTTTCTTTGTCAAGGAAACAAAAAAAAAAAAAGGAGAAAGAGAAACAGCATGGCTTTAGACAGTGGTAGATGGAAACTTTCTTATTCTAAGCATGTGAGTTAATTCATGAAAAGGGAAAGATTTGAAGTGTCAACATTCAGAAAAGAAATGAAACTCTCTCTCATGGAATAAGGAACTGAGGGGCAGAGTTGCAAAGAAAAGATGATCTGAAGCAACAACTTATGGTCTGAATATCTTACAACCAGTGCATCAAAATCTTGTATTATTGGCCAGACTTCTTTTGTCACTATCCAAAATTAACCTTTTGATCATCTTAACCTTGGTTGAATCTAATGAAAAAAAAAAAAATCTTTGCAATCATTTTATTCGCACTTTATTCCAACCTTACCTTTTACTTAGTATTGGGAATGCTAATTGAGCATGAGACTCTATTTCAGTTAATATATTTGTTTATCTAATCAAAATCTCTTGATGAATTTGAAAGGTTGGATGAGAATTGCAGGGAGAAAGGAAGCTGAATTCAATAGCTAAGAAGTCATCCCTACTAGCTGAAATTCCAATAGCAAATGAAAGTTCCACTCATTGGGGCAATATTTTCAAATATCTCCTCATGGGAAACAAATGAGATTCTACCTTTGGCACTCCATAGAGTATTCATGAATATGAATCTACTGAGTTGCTACAGAGAGATGATCACAGGTTGATGAATCCACAACATAAAGCACATTTGACTCTCGCTGAATATGGACGTCCAACATGTTCAAGGAAGTTTCTCAACCTCTCTTCATCTTAGCTTATCTTCTACATGAAAGTCATATCACTTACATTTCCAAACCATCACTTTCATTCGGCCCTTAGCCGCATTTACCCTCATTTGGTTCTGTTGATGCTTAATTTGCTCAGTCATTCGACCGTTGCAGCATGAGCACAAACATAAGCACAAACACCAGCATAAACACAAGCACAACCACAAACACAAGCACAAATGCAAGCACCAACACAAGCACACAATCTTGCTCGGTCGTTTGACTATAGCCACTCAACTTGCTCGGTCGTTTGATCGTAGCCATTCAACTTGCTCGGTCGTTCGATCGTAGCCTCCCAACTTGCTTGGTCATTTGACCGTAGCTATTCCGTATGTTCGGTTATTTAACCATTGTGGTTATATAATCGTCTACAATCACCTTTTACAATCACCATTTACCATCATTGTCTACAATCACTTTTTATAATCACCAGTTACAATCACCTTTTTACAATCACTTCTTACAATCACTGTTTACAATCACCTTTTTACAATCACTTTTTTACAATCACTGTTTTCAATCACCATTTATAATCACCGTTTACCATTCACTTTACTTGTTTGGTCATTCGACTATTGCAGTTATAAAACCGTCTTTCACCACTTCTACTTTCCTTGTTCGGTCATTTGACCGTTGTGGTTTTTTTAGCCATTTTATCTCATTCGTTCGGTCAACCTGATCGTTGCGGCTTTTTAGCCATTTCATCTCATTCATTCGGTCAATCCGATTGTTGCGGTTTCTTAACCGTTTTATCTCATTCGATCGTTGCGATTTTCTAATCATTTTACTTTACTTGTCTAGTCATTCGACCAGTTTTACTTTATCTGTTTAGTTGGAAAAAAAAAAACACAAAATTTGAGTTATTCTTGTCTTTTCTTTTCATTCTTAACAGAAAGAAAAGAAAAGAGGGGCAACTGTCATAACTCAGATTTTTGTAAAATTTTATTTTATTTTTATTTTTATTTTAACTAATATGTTTTGTCTTTGTTTTACTTGTTAGGTTCATTCAAAAAAAAAAAAGGGGGGGCAAAAAGGAAATTTTACGAAAAAGATTGGAAAAAAAATGAGAAAAAAGACTCAATTGAAGAAATGAAAAGTTGGAGGGGTGAAATGCAAAGTCTAGCCCAAAACCCATCAAACTCAATCCAAAACCCAAAGTTTTAAAAATCGACCTGGAGGTCAAACCGTTTTGACCTTCGGTTCCCGATTTAACCAGTTTAACCGGTTCAACTATTCAAACCATCGGCTCAACCCAAATGAATAAATATAAGGTTAAAACCCCTTTTTGGTCCCTGAACTATTGTACGGACCCCCGATTTGGTCCCTGATTTGGTCCCTACTGTTTACCATTTTTACCCCAATTTGGTCCTTCCGTTAAAAATTATGTGACGTGGCATGTTACTTAACAGTTACCAGATGACATGTCATATAATAATATAAAAAGTGATGATGTGGAAAAAAAATAATATAAAAAAATATTATGAAAAATAAAACTTAATTTTTTTTTCTTTTTTCTTTTTTTCTTTTTCTTTCTCCTTTCCCTTTCCCTTTCTCTTTCTCCTTCCCCTTTCTCTTCCTCCTTCCCCTCAGAACCCAACAGGCCTGGGTTCCTTTGAACCTACCCAGCCCTGGGTTCGACAAACCCAAGTCGAACCTAGGGCTAGGTTCGTCGAACCCAGGGTTGGTGTTGGTTAAACCCAGCCCTGGGTTCGTCGAACCCAGGGCTGCTGTTGGCTGAACCCAGGGTTGGGTTCGTCGAACCCAGCCCTGGGTTTCTTCTCGAACCCAGGCGCCTGGGTTTCTTCTCGAACCCAGGCGCCTGGGTTTCGTTTGCACCCAGGCGTTGGGTCTCTTCTTGAATCCGGGCACTGGGTTCCTTCGAGAACCCAAGAGCTGGGTTCGTT